GTTGGATGCAAGCTAGTTAGAGAAGGCATGAATCTTTGAAATGCATTTACAGATTGTGGAGCTACAAGAAATAGGTTCAAAGTCAGCAACCCTGTTTACATTTTGCAATTTTGGAACAAGTTACTCGCGACGGAATTGACTGCTTTCAAAGGGTTCCGACTGGAAACGAAACTCAGAACCGCATCAAATAACATCCTGTCCCACAGTACTCCAAGCTTTTTTGAAGAGATCGGCTGAACATCCATCTGGCCCAGCAGCCTTGCTGCCATTCAGAGAGAATATCGTGATTTTGACTTTTTCAGGGGTCACTGGAGCAATTATAGAACACTGTTGCGACCAATTCAGTAATCGACGCTACCCCCACTTAACAAGGCGAAAGCTAAACAAATCAAATTCAAGCTGAACTCGAGTTGCTTCCAGCATCTTGAAGAAGGCCACTTAAAACCACATCAATTCATTGAAAGGGTTTTCTTACAACTGTTTTATTTTCAAGATATGTTCCAAGAACTGAATTGAACTTCATCTTGTCACCAAGGAAGAATATTCAAACAAAAAAAAGTAAAATAAAAATAAGAAACCAGCAGAAAGCCACAGAATCATATGACTTGGCCAAAAGAAGTGGAACCTCAAATGTTATTCAATACATCAACAGCATTCTAAATAATCTTACAATCATGGAACTGGAACTATATCAGTTACAACATGCCCTTTATTTTGCACAAGGGAGCAGTTTATGGTATTCTGTATCTCCAATGTCTCGCTAAAGCAGGTAATGATCCCAACTAATCATAATCACTGTCTTCCAAGGCGGTCAAAATCATCCTGTAAACAAAGAGTAAAACAATCTTGCTTTAGTTGTTTCACTAACGATTACAATACCTTAAAGGTAGAAGCAATATAGCAATTTCACCCACCAGAAAATCGAAAGAAATAGGAGAACAATGAGATAGCCTAGTTTGAAAAGTCGTTGTTTCTTTTCCCAGTTGAGCATGTTGAATATCTCAGTCACATCTACCAAATGCTGTCTTTGTGTGTAACTAATCAAAAGAATGAAAAAGTTAGAAGAAGCAAATCATATCATCTTCTATCACATGCAGCCAGCAAAGTACAAGCTTAGCATATTCCTAAGATGAGATCTCTACAGTAAAATGAACTGATTTGCATAACGATCCCTTTATGTAATGCATGAGATCGCTTCTATCAGCAAGATAAACAAGAGTGTGTTAACGCTAACTATATAAGAAATCAATTCAACTTGTCTGGAAGATCAGGGAAGATCCTGACCCGCCATCCCCAAAACTCAGAAACCATAGCTTGAGAACCTCACAATGGCAACACAGAGTGTAATACAGGCATGTCACCTCAACGAATTATAAAATATATGATAACATCATTATGATTTAACTTCTTATAAGTGTTCAAGGTTAAGATGAGAGACAAGCAATCATTACTGCATCCATTGTGAGTACTGGCAGAATTTTGGACTAGTCTATCTCTAATACGGACATGGCTGGATTATATAAGTGACTGTGTAGATAGATTGACAAACGTGAAATAAACATAGAGCAAGACTCAAAAACTGTGTGAAGCTCATGATACCCTCAGCTTCATCGGGATACAAATATGTTGTTTTCCCCATTTGTTTGCTGGAAAGTAGTTTTCTTTTGGAAAGTGAATTCCGGAAAAGTAAATTACTTTATGATGTTTGGTAGTGTAATGGAAAATAAGTTGGAAAACAGTTTCCAGTGTTTGATTATGTCATGAAAAATAAGCTGGAAAATAACTTATTAATATTTTATTTTTCTCAAGTTCATTAAAATAATAAGGAACAAATCTTACAAATTAAATAGTTGAATGAGAATGAAATTGAAAAAAAAATATAATTTCATAAATTATCTCAAATAAAATAAAAAAGAATCAAAATAATGGAGATCAAATCTAAAAAATAAAAAAAATAAAAGATGAAGAAATTAAAATAATAATAATCAACATTTCATAAATTATTTCAAATAAAATAAGTAACAATAAAAAAAATAAGGACTAAGCTTGATAGATAAAAAATTTCAATAAAAAAATGATAAGAAAAAAGCAAATAGCAATTATAAAAATAAGGACCAAAGTTAATATAAAAATTAAATTTTAAGAGATAAAATTGAAAAATAAATATTTAAAACAAAATATATATAGTAATCAAAAGTTTAAAGATCAAATTTAATATAATTAGCAAATAATGACATTTCTAAATTTTTCACAACTTCCAGAAAGTGTTTTCAGCCTAAATTTTCCAGGAAAACACTTTCCTGAAAACCAAACTAAATTTTCCTTTCACTGGAAAGTGTTTTCCATTGACCAACTTTCTTAACGGTAAACAAATATAAGAAAGTTTAAAAAGTGATTTCCCGGAAATCACTTTCTGGAAAACAAACACAGCCATAAAGGAAAATACTTTCCTGAAAACCAAGTCAAATTTTTCTTTGACTAAAAAGTATTTTTCATTGACCGGAAAGTGTTTTTCATTAACTAACTTTTCTAATGACAAACAAACACGGGAAGATTTGGAAAGTGATTTCTCGAAAACTACTTTTCGAGAAACAAACATGGCCTTAATATGAGTTCATGGCTCCAAACATGGAACCTCAAGTGTAAGCAGAAATCAAGGCTGTAATTCTAAAGCATTGAAGCCTTCTAAAACCGTAGGTATCCAACTACTTTGATTGGATATTCTGAAGTAAATCTCGTGCTTCTCTCTAACAATCCATCAAATAATCAACTCAACCAATCATAAAAGCACGGATTGAGCAGCAATTCGTTGAAATTATCCTATTCACACTGCATTGATGAAATGGTACCCTTTTCACTGGTAAGCAATAAATGTATAGTCTTAACACAGTAGACCTCCCTTCCTCTTAAAAGCGTACATCTCTACCTTTCTCCCATAGACAGATAAACAACAATTTTCAGATGCGGGAAAAGTATAATTCTGCACAACAAAGAAGAAGATAAAACTTACAGCCTCACATTGTAATAAAGGTATGGAATACACAAAAGTGACATGCACCAGTGCCCTGTAATGAGAAAAAATAAGCACAAAACCCCTTCTGTTATATACTCTGGCAAAATCACTTTATTTATCCGAGATGAGGAATCATAAGGATTGATGTAATCAAACTCCAGATCTGCTAAGGCCATAAGCTGCAGCAAAATTCTTCAAAATGTCAAAATCCATATGTCATACACCTCAATTCACACAAGCGAACAAATGATGGACTAATCCATACATGGAGCAATTCCCACGCATTTTTCTTCGAATTTGTTTAGCAATCAATCATCGTCTAAAATCAACTTACTTTTTACAATTACCCCACTAAAAAGCAGAGGCTTTTTATTTATTTATTAAATCAGTCTTCAGTATATTATTATCCACAGAAAACAATAAATACCAGACCTAATCAAGTTGGAAAGTGAATTGATCAAAACCAAACACACAAACAAGCAAACAACCCATCAGCATTAAGTGGACGACAAGCTGACAAATTTAGCTATGCAGCTACCCTGTAAAAAAGCAATTAAAATCCCAGTCGAAATTTAACATTACTAAGTACCCAATAAGCACTCAAAATCAAAGAAAAGAGAAGTCTAATTTTCTCAATTTAGAAACAACTAACATTAAAAAAAAATCACCAAATTTATTAACAAGTAAAGGGGTTCGAAGAATGACCTGGAAGATGACAATAACAAGAAGAGCAATAAGAATGAAGAAGGCTATCAGCCATACAAAAAGATCTCCCATGCTCCTTCCTTACCCTCCCTGCTCTAATGTTTTACTCTCTCTCTTCTCCCTTAAGTACTCTGCTTCGTTAGCTCAGAAAGAGGTAGAGATGGGTGCTTATTAATCACTCTGGCACGCACGGGGGCTTTGGTTTTCCTTCTGTCTGAAATGCCACAATTCTTTTCTTGTTCGGTTTTCCTTCGATTTACATAGTTAAGGATTCTAAGTTATGAGTTATGATAATTACCTAAAACCCCATTCCGTCCTTTAAAGGTAACAAGACTCTTTCAGGAATTAAAAAAAAACGGCCTGGGGACATTTTTGTCTATTCGTGAGTGTTCACTGTCTTTTTAAAATTAACGGGGGTATACGGTCACTTGTGCTACCCACATGGATACAGATGAGCATCAAAGAGGACAATGATGGAATAGATTTCTTTCATGTTTATTTTGATGTAAAATGGTTAAAATAAAACTTGTTTAGAGAAATTGTAAAAAGAAACACATGACTCTTTAGAGGGGTCTCAGCCAAAAGGACTAAAGGAAACGGTTTGGTTTATGATAATTGAGTTGATGTGTTTTAATGTCTCCTGGTTGATTTGTGTTCGAATTAATATTAGAATTGAAAAAATTCGAGAGGAAGGAACTTGGTTTTTAGCCAAAACCTTTATTTTTTAGCCAAGAAAATATAATTAATTGAAGTTGATTACTCATCCATAGAAATAGATCCATAGAAATAGAGGCTAACGATACCAAGATGATTAGTATTAACATATATTAATAGGAAAATAAATATATTGAATTCAACTCAATTAGTTGTTTATGGAAATGAAAGCTAATGATACAAGGTGATTGATATTGACATATTCTTTATCAATTAATTATTAATGAGATGAAAGCTAATCATATCAATATAGTTAATAATAGTATCATTGTGCTATCCACATGAATGCAGGCTAAAGATTTGATTTTTAAGAAAGGACCAAAAAAGGTTAAAGGGTGTTGAAAATTAGTGATATTGATAATAAATTACACCTTGTGATAGCTATTTAAACTATAGTATTCAAACTTGATGGATATTTGATCAGGTTTTAATATAAAAATTCATACTGTTTTAGATTGGATTTGAATAGTTAATTCAAGCTTAAATATGGATAATATAAAACTCCATCCATAAATATTCATCTCCATCCAAAAAGAATTTGTAAGAAAATAAAATAAGGATACAAGGATGAAAAAAAGGGATCTTGATTTATGTTAGAGCCAAGTAGATAATGTGATGCTATTGAACGCCAACAAAGACAGGATCTTGGTGTCATTTCCAGCAAACCAAGACCTTCCAAAGCTGAAGCGTCCTTCTCACAATTTTGCCAAATTTGCTAGCAAAGAATTCCTGAAGTAAGAATGGAGGGCATGGAATTGGTGGTGGTGGTGGTGGTGGCTCTCCCAGAAACTGTTTCTGCAATGGAAGAAGCTGAGCCTCCATTACTTCTACGATTGCGGCTGCTGCTTCTGAGATAGAAGCTTCTGCTACCAACATCCCCAACCAATTCTGATTTATCTAAACCTGTTGACACCGAGAAGCATAATTGATAACTTCTTAGAAAGGTAATAGGATAACATGACAGAAAGTTATTGAAAAACAAAAGGCAACTTGTAAATATTAAGATTGTTGTATCGAATCTAGTAACAAAATCAAGGCGTATTAGCTGAATAAAAAAGAAATCAGCAAAACAACACTATCCCTTGGCGAATGACAAGGAACATCTCTTCACTGAAATCCTAAGAAAAACGCAAAATCAGAATTACTAATAACTAGATGGAAAGTCCAAACCTTGACTTACTTCGAAGGCTGAAATAGGAATGATGCAATTCACATGTTGATGCTGCATTCTTGTCAAGTTTTGGGGTTCGCCCTTCTTCACTGTACTTGTCTACCACAAGCTTAATTGTGTCCTCCACATTAGATCCCAATTTAATCATGGTCCTAACTGGCCCTGGACTCCCTTCTACTGTTACAGTAATCACTACCTCTGCATCCTGCTTGCATCCCTACAGTCCAAGTTTTGTATCAATATAGCATAGACTATTCATGAATGAAATTCCTGAATTCAGTAAAATTGTGTCCAAATTGAGGGTTGATTCACCATACTTCAACAATGTATTAGTAAGGGACTAATTAAGTGGGGAAAAAAATAAAACTTCTGGTACCTGATCAAGACTGGAGCGAGGAGAGAAATTAGTGGGCACGATCAAAGAAGGAGACGAAGCAAGAACATCTGTACAAGTATGAGGCCTTAACAAAACACCACCATCACTCTCGTACAGTAAGCTGCTGCTCCTCTGTTTCTGCTGATCAACACTCTCTTCAGTACGGCTCCCCCCACACCATCATGGACTCTGAGGACCATCGCTTCAAAAACTTTACAGGCTTGGAGTGCTTCACCGATCGCCATGGTGATGGGGCCGGTCTACTTGGAGATGGAGATAGGTGTGGTGGCCTGATCTTCCGTCCACCGTTCTCCGGAGCTCTACGCCGGACATCCCTCTTTGGCATATATGTGGTGTGTGTGTGTGTGTGTGTGTGTGTGTGTGTTGATTACGTACGATTAAAACAATGATAAAATTACAAGTTTTAGTTATGGTTTTTTAACATGAGAGTGGAGAGGTAGAGGTTGTGTGAAGATAGTGAGGGAAAGGAAGGTAGGACGGTGGAAAGCTAGTTATCGTTTGAGTGACGATGGAGGAAACTAGTATATTAATTGTACTTGCTTGCCTCTGCGTTTTTTTTTTTAAAGAAAAACTCATAAAAAAAAATATAGATTTTGCTATTTTGGTGCTGAAAACATGGTCAAGGCCATTCTAAATATTGAAAAAAGTGTAATTTATCCGCATGGAGGTTAGAAATTTATCGCATATATTATATATCAAACTCTCAATTTGAGTGCTAAATATAAAATAACATGTTTCTTTTAGAAAAACTTCCTTTTTTATTATTAATATAAATATTCAGACTAACTTATATCATCATATTAATAACTATAAACTTTAAATTTAAAATTATATAAAAATAATAATAATTTCAAGCTCTTACCACTTAATCATCTATTTAAAAAAGCTCTTCTATTTAATGGCTCCGGCCCCTCATGATAGTTAATGTCACCTGAAAAACAAGATTCGCAACAGACATGAAATCTTTCCTAACGGGAAAAGGAGAACTAGCAACCACCCCCTAATTTCCTAACGGTAACATATCAGAAATCTCTTACAAGCTCTCTGAGATCTTGTAATCTAAGATTAAACAATTTTTGCTACGACTTCTGCATATGTATGCAGTGTTTATACCAAAAAAGAAAATTAATTTGAACTCTCATATCTTCTCTGTTCTTTGTTTTTTTTCCTTCATGTAAATCGTGTTGGACTAAAATAAGGATACAGCCCTGTAGCATAGGGCAAACAGTTTATCTAGCATTGGCTAAGTATGCTCGCACAAAGGGTACCAAGAAAAGTGCTCATAATTAGCTCTCTTAAATCAGTAATTATTTGGATGCGATCGTTTTTATGGGATTAAACCTTGATGCATATACTTAAAATAACCTAAACTAACAGAGGTGCTAAGAAAAGTTATATAGTTTCCCTGTTGGTTTAGACACTACATACTGAATAATACTTATTGTTTATTAAGAAATATAGTAGAGTTAGCGTATCTAAACAATCTAAAATTATTTTAAAAAATTAATTTAAAAAAATAAAAAAAAAATAACAAAACAATGGTTTAATGCCAAACAGACCCTTAATTTTCCTGCCCATTTCCATTTATTCTCTACATTAAAAAAGATTTTCCCGTATCTGTGGCGCCATGGTCCTTTTCATCTCTTCTCCATCTCAGGGCAACATTGATTCTGACAGGCATTAATCCTCTAATGCTGCCGAGAACAAGGCGGGCAAAACTCCTCCTGTTGCAGAATGGGAAAGCCGACCATCACAGGTTACAAATTAAGTCCTTTTCTTCGAAACATTATCCAGAATAATATAAAATAAAAGAATATTATAACCTGATTTTTTTATAATTTAATATAATTATACTTCTACTGGTGATACAAGATTTTGTTTTTTGGGACATGTTTGTTTTGGTCTCTCCATTCTGCTACTTTTTCCAACAACATTAAAATACTAACTTCTCTATTCCAACAAGGTAGAGAAAAGAAATGATTTATTCGGAGAAAATCAGTGCACCTTGTGCGGACAAAGAATTAACCAAAGGATAAAGAAAACATGGGCATTTAATCATGCCGCTGTTCTTGAACCATCCATAAAGTGGACATGTTTACAGACATTATATGACCTTGCCATGCTGAGTATGATCCACTGGAAAATAAGAACATCCCAGCCCACAATTTCAGGATAATGAAGCTGGGAAAATATTCTTCTGCCAATCAACTTTATCCTTCATATCGTACCAGAATTTGTCTTTTCCAAGTCAATCTTAGCCTTCATAATATCAGAATTGGCCTCCCTGATGAAGCCTTGAGGCATTTTAAAACTCGAAGCAGATTCATGATAAACGAATTTGCCATCCCAAAACTAGATTTGGAGCAGGGGGGGTCTATGATTTCCGAGGTCTCACAGACTAGCATCTGATCATTCAATTATCAAAGGGTTACGTTGATTCTATCTAACTACACCCTGATAACTTGGACAGTTGCTTCTCTTTCCACAACTTCCTCAATCTCCTGACATCAACCCACCTTCCAGCAGAGGAATGAATGTTGGCAAGAAGAGAGCAGTTGCATTAGGCTCCAAATCAAAACGACGCTGAGCTGCAATTTCTGCAAACTCAACATTGTTATGCACGCTGCAGGCAAGCAGCAAAGTCCCTCAAGCCCTAGAATGAGGCTGCATTGGCATACTCTTTATCAGCTCACATGCCTCTTGTAATCTTCCAGCTCTCCCTAAAAGAGTGACCATGATTGCATAATGATCAACTGAAGGTACAGGTCATGGTCCTTCATGGAACTAAAGAATCGGTAGCCCTCTTCAACCAGACCAGCATGGTTACATGCCTGTAAATAGCCCTGGAAAGGTAGCTAAATTCAGACGAGTTTGGGTGTCCACCATCATTTCCAACAACTTGATTGTATCAGCAACCTTTCCATTCATGCAACAACCCGGGATCATTGCACTATAAACAACTGCAACCTTCTTATTTAGGCCATGAAATAGATCATATGCCTTTTCAACACTCCCACACTCTGCATATAGGTAATGCAAAGCAGTAACCAACGGGTCATCAATATCTGTTCCAATATCATTTACACATGACTAGCCATGACGCAATTCTCCTGTCCCCTAGTTGTAAACAAGCTGTTACAACACTTACTAAAGTCAATCTGACCTGGCCGAATATTTGCATAAGCTTTACCCATCTCGCTAAACAACTGAAGGGCCTTCTTCGGTTGGCTATTCTGAGCAAAGCAAGATATCACGGCATTAAACGTAAGCAGATCCTTCTTAGCTATCCGATAAAACAACATCTCCACATTTTGAGCACCCAACAATCATTGTGATCCAGGAAACAGTCTCTTTGGGGCATTGCATCAAAGAATCTCCGTGCTGATTCTATGATCCCAAAATCAACGTATGCACTAATGAATGCATCCCAAGAAAATAGTTTTTCTCTGGCATCTGTTGAAACAAAACAATGCGCGGTCCATGTCCTCTATTTTTGCATACCCTGATATCATTGAATTCCAGGATATGATATCTTTCCTTGGAATCTGGTCAAACACCCACTGAACCTCTAGTAAATCCCCACATTTCAGATGCCCCGATAAAATTGAATTCCATGAGACTACATTCTTCCCCGCCAGCTCATCAAAAACCTTCTGTGCAGTGCTCATATCACCCATTTTTACATATAAATCCACAAGGGCTGTTTGAGCATAAACACAGCTAGAGAGTCATATTTATAACTTTGAGCGTGGATCAATATGCCAACCATCTTGTAAAAGGTCCTAGCATACGCCATTAAGCAGAGGATACATCAAATGCGCTTGACACAACCCTTATCTCCGCATCTGAGCACAGGGATTAATGGCTTCCTTGAATTAGCCTTGCTGCGAGAAATATCTAACAATGCAACCCCATGTGAATGGATCTAGAAGTCGCAAATGGTCAAGGATATTATGGACATATTGATCAATTCTTCTATGGTAATTACAAGCAGACTGGAGGATTTGACGAACTAAGAGAGGCTCCAGGTTATTAAGACCATTGATGATGCATGCATGCATGACTTTGTTTTGTCTGGCTGGCAGTCGGATAATTATTCAATATCGTCGTCAGTTTGGCAGGCAGCATCTACATGGCAAGGTTGAACAATCCAGAACGAATCTCATGTTATCGAACCAGTTGGTTGTAAATTCTTCGTTTCTATTCAACGAGAAAACTTGGTTTAAGCTTGCCTCGTAATCAGCATATCTTGAGGTGAAGAAATGGCATCAAAAAAAAAAAAAACGAGGGAACTCAAGCCTTCCACTCCACACAACCATACCACACTGATGGATGATTGGCATAATACCCACAAAGGATAAAAGACGATAAGGTCAAATGTATTATAGAACAGAAATTCAATCCTTCAAGCTATTAACCTGAACAGAGAGCAGTCCCACTGGTAACCCAAACCTGAAACAAGAAAACCAAATCATCCAGCTTACTTTTACAGAACTTCAAAGGAACCCATAACACTAAAAGAGCTCAAATTCTTCACTGTGCTTGCCTTCATTTAATAGAATCTCCAGCGAATCGCTCGAGTAAACTAAATAGCGACCAGAGAACTAAATTAAAAATAAAATACATTCATTTCTTCATCAGGCATACCAGCAAGCAAGATACCCGGTAAGAAATGACTAAGCTTTGAGCTTTCAGCCTCGACCCCCAAAAAAAAAAATGTCCCTTAACATCAAGTGAATTAATACTAACGAAATTATACCTGAATTGAATATCACGCCATTTCCATTATCTGGGCTTTCGCTTTAACTTCTTAATGACCTTCCTGCCTCTGCCTCGTCTCCCAGAAATAGCCATTACTTATTGGTAATTATGATCTTTTACTATTAAAAAACAATGGTTTATATATAAAGTATAAAAAATCATAAATCAAACCGACTCCAAATGAAATCTTAAACTTATTTTAAACTAAAAACATCCTAAAAATCTCTATTAAATCATTTTCTAGCTTCGAACATCATTCTTAAAAATCATAAATTAAACTGAATAAAAAATAAAATCAATAGGTTTCCATCTTAAAAAGAACTTATTGAGTCTAAAATCAATTCATTTTTGTAATCGGAATGTACCATCCCAAATATTTTTCCTCTTTTTAATTAATTTTAATAATTTTCTCTTTTCTCTCTCAACATTCAATATCAAAATATGATAAAAATAAATTTTTTAATCAAAACAAAAAAAACCTAGAATAATAGAGACCAAATATAAATAAATTAAAACTTAAGGGAGTAGAATGAAGTTTTTTCACTTGATATAATAAAAAGAGTTTTTTATTGTTAATTTTTTATCCTTATTTTTTTATTATATAA